ATGTAAAACAGGATTTTTTTTTTGAAACAGAAGCTTCAAAATTGTCTTCATAGACTAGAACACAAAGCTGAGATCTCCAATATGAACTTCAACACAAATACATGCTGGATTTAGAAAATACAGACCTAGGTGTGAGAGACCTGTTTAGCATATAAAAAAGATCTAGGTATCTAGTGGATTGCTTACAGATCATAAGCCAGCAGGAATTGCAGTTGCTAAAAACCCAAATGCAATCTTATGTCACATTAACCATAGTGGGCAGACACAGAGAAATGATAGTTTCAAACTAATTTCACCAGTCATGCTGTATTTGGAGTCCTTTGACTAATCTCAGATGTTACATTTTAAGAGCACTAAGAACTGGAGGTATGTCCACAAAGGGATGAGAAGCATAGTGAGAGATAAGGAAACCTATGAGAAATGGCTGGAAACCCATTCAGCTTGGAGAATAGAAGATTATTGGGACAGAGACGGTCACATGAGATAAGAAGGAAGAATTAAAATCAAGCTAAACATTGAGAAATATCCAATCAGTAGGAAATGTTTGGAACCAATAGCCTTGAAAAGTGGCAGGCTCTCTTTCAGTGAATGGATTGCCTTATGCAATAGTTATGTTCTGTATTATAGTTTCTGCAAGATCCTCCAAAATACTTTTGAAATGTATGATTCTACTGCCAAAAACACAGGAGTAGGAAGCTAGGAAGAAATAAAAGTACAAGATGAATTATAGTCAAAGGTGGCTGGTCAGGTTCTGAATAAGATTCCGAGAACATAAAGCTTTCCCCTCTACTATTCCTTTTCTCTCCCTTCCTTGTGCCCCCATATTCTAATGTTTAGAAAAAGGTTGGAGAACTTTTCAAGAGAAACTATCCTAGAGAAAAGAAAGAGATTTGAAGGAATCCCAGAGCTCCAAGAAACACTTGGAAAAAGCTTGAGTTGCTTCCTACAGTTTTTGAGAAGCAAAACCTGGAAAGGCTGAAGACAAGCTGACGTGATAGAGAGGTGGCTTTTGACCACCTGTCATCCAAACTTGGTTTACTTCTATTCCTATTCCAGTTTTCACTAAAATATTAGAACATGGATTTTGTATCTCTGCAGCTGCTCTGTTTTGATGAGGTTGATACTGTTTCATGAAAACTGTGACAAGGTATTGACAGCATCTGTGAACAAGTAGATTAAAATTCTGAGCAAAGTCCTTAATTTAATACAACTCAGCTGAGGGGAGAAGTAAAGCTGATAGTGATAATATAGCTAAATCCTGTTCTTACTCATGTATGTACTGTAGTTTTAATATGAAGTCTATACATTCTGGGAATCTAGCGTGCTTTGAGAAACTATGCAGGTATATGGTGAAGCCCAAATTTAAATTATTGCTCTTACTATTGTTGGTTCAAAGAAGAGAGGTTTCATTCTAGGGGATAAACCTAAAACTTAAAGTAGCAGGTGAATGTATTATTAACAAGCAAGTATAACATAAAAATGTCCATTACAGCTTTCCTTTTTTGCTGGACTTTTGGATGGGATGGTAAATTACAGCTAATCTAAAAATAAAATATATGAAAGATTAAAAAAGCATGGCACAATGAAGCATATGGCTTCATCATTGCTTCTTTTTAACTATTCCTTGTGATGTACCTAACTTTCAACAGTATTGTGTACTAATATGTTAATTAAACTAAGAGAAGAATAAAAGGAGAAACAAAGAAAGGCACTTAAATACTCTCTGTAGAAATTTTATTTGATTTTTACATAAAATGCTTTGTAAACCCTTGGAGAAGATAATGGAGATGGTTGACCAAGATATCAAGCTTGTCCTTAAAGTGCTCCAGTTTCACGTTCAGTTTCTAAAGATAAAAGTCTGGATCACTGCAGTATTTTCTACGTGAAGCTATCTTTGAAGGCTGCTCAGAAACTGCAATTCATGCAAAATGCACCCACTCGCATATTGGAGAATCAAGATGGCCACAGACATAAAACACCTGTTTTACAGTTGCTGCATTGGCTACTGATTGGTCTCTTGGTGCAATTCAAAGAGCTATTTTTAACTTACAAAGCCCTATAAGGCTTGGCACCTAGGTATGTACAAGACCTAGTCCTTCCTTCTGTTTGGAAGGGGCCTGTGCAAACTGTCCAGTCTTAGTTTCTTTTGGGACCTTTAATGATGAACTCAAAGCATCCAAAAGGAGGGAAGGAATCACACTATTGCTTGATCAGTTTGTGGGGAATGGGACAACAAGGGAGGGTTCAGGCTCACATAAGTTTAGAAGAGATGGCATACAGTCCAGTTATACTGCTTCGGGCAATCAATGGGATCTGAATTTGGAATATGTTCTGAAACAGTGCAGGGAAAATAAAAACCTGTATTAGTTGAGTCCATTATAAATTAAAATTTATAATCATGCTGGCCTAAAAAATGTGTAGTGTACCTAAAGAAGAAAGTTCATCTACAATTTAACAGAACGTTGATTGCACTGCTCTCATTTGTTGTTTAGGATTTTTTCTGGTTAAGCAAAAAAACAAACAAAAAAAAACCTTTATCATAAAAAGATAAGAGATCTGAAAAATATATGATTCTTTACTTATCTGGAATTTACTCATGGAAAAAAAACCCCTATGCTTTAAACTGGTAATTTGTAACTATTTTTTTAATGGCTCCAGAAGTTGAAGAAGGGGGAACAAATCCTCCATCTAGAAATTCATAGTCTTTAGCAAAAAAAAAAAAAAAAAACGTATTAAGGATGAATCTTTTACACACTCAGATTTCCCTCCTCATATAGTATTTCGAAACAGTGATTAATCATTAAGTTCTACAACCAGTTTTCAGTAGACATCATTCATCACCAATGTATGAGGGTGGTTAGCTACAGCATGTGTAACCTCTATATACAACAAACC